GCTGGAAGCAGTTGAAGGAAAAGTTAGGAGACAGCCCACTGAACTCTTCTAGCAGTTATTAAAAAAAAAGTTTCTGCAGGTTCTGCTTCATTATCAATTAGGATGCACTCTTGTCTTGAAAGTCCTTTTAAATAAATAGAATGCCTTTTTACCTCTCGTTAGAGGCCATTTTCTATTTGTTAAAATAGGTGTTTTGTTTTGATTTTTCTCTCATAGTCACTTGACACCAACTTATGAGGAGGTGGAAGTTTTGATTGCGTTGGAAGGAAGTGGGGAAATTTTGGAATGTTGGAATACTAAGTACTTGGAAAGAGTATGGGGAATGTTATTAGTCTTACCAGTAATTGAGTGACCTGTACTGGTTGGTGCTGTGAGGCAAAATTTTACATATGATATTTCAATCCTGAGCTTATTATTTGAATGAGAAGGTTAGTAAGTCATATAGATTATGAGGAAGGGTAGGGGCTAGAGTGGTAGCACAGCGGGTAGGGCGTTTGCCTTGCACGCAGCCGACTTGGGTTCGATTCCCAGCATCCCATATGATCCCCTGAGCACCACCAGGAGTAATTCCTGAGTTCAGAGCCAGGAGTAACCCCTGTGTATGGAAAGGCGTGACCCAAAAAGAAAAAAAAAGATTATGAGGAAGGGTAGATGCCATAAGTATGAGTATGTACAAATTGAACAGTAGGCTTCAGAATGGTATTTTATTTTGACTTATCAGTCTTAAAATTCTCATTGGATCTCCAATTTAACAATTCATTCTGGGATAATTAGGTGATATTTATGAGAGCAAAAAATATATTTTTATTAAACTTTAATATTTGGCATAATTCGAAATTCGAGTATAAGGCAGATGGAACTGAGTATAACAAATAGATGCTTATTTTAAGATGAGCACTTTGGAATGCTGAAGTACTTTGACTAAAGAAGCAGCTAAATAGCATAGGTAGAGAATTATGGAACCTTAGTGGCTTAGATTAGTTTGTTACAAAGAATTTTAACCCTGTGAAAGTGAGAAGGGAACTTTCAAACCTCTGCAAAGTATCTATAAACAGTATATGTTAAATCTATGCCTTTATTAGTTTTTAGTTTTATACTATTGGAATATATGTTATTTATATATTAAGAACTAGCTACAGAATCTTAAATATATCATAGTAAGATTAAGTCGTCAAAACTTTTGCTATTTGAAATCAGAATGAATTTTTGAAAGAGTAAAATGTAGGAAAGCAAAAATAACCTTGAATACTATTAGGCAGTTAGCTTATGCACATATTAATATTGAACCACCTCTCCATGTCATGTGCTGTGAATTGTTTTTTACTTTTTTCCCCCACTTAATTCTGTCCTAAAGCAGAGCTTTAAGGTAGGAGGTATTCTGATTTTGAAATAAGAGGAATCTGCAGCAATTTTATAAATAGATCCTTTGGAAGGTTAATATATGCTTTGGATGCAAAGTGAACAGTTAAGTTAGAACTAGAACTTTGTTCTAATTTCAGAATTTGAGACTTGTCTTTGTAATCTTCCAGCTTCTTGTTTTCTCTTTCTTTGGTTTTTCTAGTATATAGTAGTAATAGTGGTTGAGCAGTAGGTTTTGGAGTTTAGTAATGAGATGTTTGGTATAACCTGTACAAGAAACTACAATAATATACTGGTGTTCTCTTAGAGTTCTCTTAGTTGTGGGGTTTTAAGAGAGAAATTTCATAAACTGACATAATGCCTGATACTTAGAACATTTAAATAAATTTTGACTTATCTTATTTTTAGGTTCTCATGATTTGATTTACTCTTTTGTCTACTCCAAATCATTTCATTCATTTTATCAGAAAGGCCTGACCTCTTTTCTGGAACGTTGTGCTCTCATGAGTAACATTCCCAGAATACTAGTAATTACCAAAAATGTGTGTCTTCCCTTGACCTTTTACCTGAGCCCAATATCCATGTACCCTGTTGTCTTCTTGATGTGCTGTGCCCAGTAAGACAGAAATGAAAGCTAGAAGTGACTGTTGAGCTCTTCAAATATGTGACTATAAAATACTTAACCATAAAATAAAATACTATTTTGAAGACTTTAGTAAGAAAATGGAAAGTAAATTCTTTTATTATTATATTGATTACATGTTGAAATGGCAAATTTTATATATTGAATTGAGTACTATTGAATTAGTTTTGTGTTTTTCCATTTATTTAAATGACTACTAGGAAATTCATATGTGCCTTGCATTATAATTCTGTTTGATAATGGCGTTCTAGATATATTCATCTTTAGTTATTTTTTAAATTATACTTTAGGTAACATAGTTACAATAATGTTAAGATTTCTCCTATTGGTGTGCAAAGGGACAAGCCCTCAAGACACTCCACTGCTGTCCCTGTAGGAATTGAGCTTTATTTTGTTCTTTGATTTTTTGGGGGGGATTCACACCTGATGGTGTTCAGGAATTACTCTTGGCAGTGCTTGGGAGGATCATATGGGATGCTGGTGATCGAACCTGGGTTGGCTGTGTACAAGGCAAATGCCCTACCTGCTGTACTACCACTTTGGCCCCTTGAGCTTTAGTGGTAAAGTATAAAACATAGCTGCTGAAAAGGCATAATAGAAGAAATTTTCCATTAAAAAATAGCTATTTGTCTTGGGTCTGGAATGATAGTGTGCTTGCTGTGCACGTCTCAGACCAGGGTTCAATCCCTGGCATTTCATTGGTTTCCCTGAGTACAGAGCCAGGAGCAATTTCTGAACACACCAAAAAACTCAAAACAACCTATCAATACCATTTATTTATTGATTTGTTTTGTTATTATATAAAATTCTCAGTTGGATTTTTTTCTCCCCTAAATGTTTGATTCTATTGGTTTGTGTATGTATTTATGTATCAATACTATTATTTTTACTTATATTTTTTATATTGGGTACCACTTATTCTTCCAATATTATTTTTTAGAAATTTTCTGACCATAATTGTTAATTTTCTCAAATGGATTATGGAATACACTTATTTAATACCCCAGAAAAATCTATCCATGTTTTTATTTATTTGATTTAAATTAGTGAATAAACTTAGGGAGAATGGACATCTTTAATAATTTTTTTCCTATGAAATAATGTGGTCTATATGTTTTTTTCATTTTTTCAAGTCTTCTGTTTCACAACAGTTTATTTATATCTTCATCTATATATATACATTCTAATTATTTATGTATGTTTTACCTTTTCTTGATGGTGATATTAATAGATCAGTTATTTTTTGACCTGGATATAATTGCTTCAATTATTTTTAATGCTAAAGCATAAAGCATAGCCCTTAAAAGGCACAATAGAAGAAGAAATGGCCTGTTAAAAATACCACTAGAAGCTTAAGATACAGTTCAACAGGAAGAGCAGACAGTTTGCATGTAGGCAGCTCAGACCCAAGCACTGAGTGTGAGAACAGTCTGAGAACAGTCTGAGAACAGCTTGAGAACAGAGCTAGAAGAGTAGCCACCAAACACTGCTGGTTTGGTGTGGTCCCCAAACTAGAACAAATAAAATTTAAACTATCATAAACATTTTACATAAATTATAATAAAAATAAATATTTTAAAAACATCTCCCCCCAAATGTTAAAATATGTGGAAGCATTTAATTACTTGTTATTGTGAAAGATTAAGGACCTTTTTTTATCATTAATATTCTTTTTTTGGAGCGATAGCACAGCGGGTAGGGCGTTCGCCTTACAAGCGGCCAACATGGCCGACCCGAGTTCGATTCCTCCGCCCCTCTCGGAGAGCCCGGCAAGCTACCGAGAGTATTCGATATGCCAGACACAGTAACAACAAAGTCTCCAATGGAGACGTTACTGGGCCCGCTCGAGCAAATCGACGATCAACGGGAGGGCCTTTACCTTTTACCTTTAAAAAATTTTTTTAATAGTGAGACATCATGAGGTACAGTTGCAGACTTACACATTTTTGTGCTTGGGTTTCAATCATACAATGATCAAATACCATCCCTCCACCAGTGCCCACTTCCCACCACCATGCATCCCAGTATCCCTCCCACCCCCCCATCTCCCCCACCCCACCCTGACTCTGTGGCAGGGCATTCCCCTCTGTTCTCTCTCTCCTTTTGGGTGTTGTGGTTTGCAAAAGAAACATTGAGTGGCAATCATGTTTGGTCTATAGTCTACTTTCAGCATGCTTCTCCCATCCTGGGAGGGTCCTCCCAACACCTTTATTTGGTGTTCCCCTCTTTATCTGAGCTTCCTTTTCCTTAGTATGTGTGGTTGACCTAAGGACCTTTTTTTAATCTTTTTTTTCTCAAATGATTTTTCTGAACCTTTTCCTTGTATTCTTTCTGTGGCCCTGCTTTCCTCACCAGTTGGCCCCAAGACTCATACTATGATCCCTCATCACAAAAAGCAGTGATTTTTGTGATTTTTTTTCTGTGATTTTAGAAGCCCAGGAATTTTCTGAGACACAAGTACATGGCATTCATTTATTTATTTAAAGTCCTTTAACTTTCTAGGCTAAAGGTGGGAACAAAGGCAAACTCCTTAATGTGACATAAAAGACCCTGCTGGCATTTTCAACCCCTTCTCTTCATGTCAAGAATTATACTCTTCTTTATTGTATGGCTTTAATTCTCTCTTTTATTTTAAAGAATTGTTTTGGGGACCACCACCAACCATGTTCAGGGGCTGTGCAGTACTGAGGATTAAATCTAAGGTTTTGCATATGCAAGTATGCACTTGAGCCACATCCCTGATCCTTAATTTTGTTTTTAAATTTTTGTGCCAGCAGTCAAACCTAGGGCCTAATATGTCCTATGTAAGAACTCTGTATTGAACTATATCCTCTGTCCCTCCTTGGGGACAAACAATCAAATGATGTTTTGAATAATCTCATTTGAGTTAATATTTTAGTTTGAGTGGCTTCTTCACTCATATCTTAGTCACAAGTTTAATTTGAAAAGTTAAATAATATTCTGGGTTTCACAATTGTGTGTATGTGTTTTTAATTAGTGAGGATGAGGATGATGACCTTCAATATGCTGATCATGATTATGAAGTACCACAGCAAAAAGGATTGAAAAAACTCTGGAACAGAGTAAAATGGACAAGAGATGAGGTAATTATATAGTAAAGTTTACTAGTAGCATAATTGTATTTATTGATTTGTTATGGTATAGGTATGAAAGATTTTTTAAAAACAGAAAATGAGAAAAGTTGTTAATCAAATAATTTTTAGCACATTATTTTTTTTAAGCCAGACACATGGATTGAATTGATAACAGGACTAATAGAAGCAGTATAGTGATTTGGTCCTTTCAAAAATGGTTGCCAGATATAAAAGCATTGGGAGAGTTATCTGTGTTAAGGGATAATGAACTAGGGTGAGGGAAAGGCTTTAATTTTTGTATTTGTTTCAATAGGATGATAAGTTAAAGAAGTTGGTTGAACAACATGGAACTGATGATTGGACTCTCATTGCTAGTCATCTTCAAGTAAGTGGAGCTTGATCATTCTAACATAGATCAATGTTTCTCAACCTTTTCCTTACCTTGTATTCTTTCTGTGGCCCTGCTTTCCTCACCAGTTGGCCTCAAGACTCATACCATGATCCCTAGTTTTTGTGATTTTTTAAAAAATGTCTCTTTTTGGACCACACCTGGTGATGCTCAGGGATTACTCCTGTTTCTGAACTCAGGAATTACTCCTGATGGTGCTTGGTGGACCATATGAGATGCCGAGTATCAAACCCAGTATTTTCCCAGACAAGGCAAGTGCCCTACCTGCTGTACTATTTCTCTGGTCCCATCATTTATGTGATTTTTCACCTATGGCCCCCTTGAAATATCCTGTGGGTGCATAGGGAGCCATAGCCTTTGATTGAGAAGTGCTCATTTAGACATTTGGTATAAATTTTCAATTTTTCAAATAGCACAGCGGTAGGGCGTTTGCCTTGCAAGCAGCCAACATGGCCGACCCGAGTTCTATTCCTCTGCCCCTCTCGGAGAGCCCGGCAAGCTACCAAGAGTATATCACCTGCACGGCAAAACCTGGCAAGCTCCCCATGACGTATTCGATATGCCAAACACAGTAACAAGAAGTCTCATGATGGAGATGTTACTGGGCCTGCTCGAGCAAATTGATGAACAACGGGTGGACCATGACCGTGACTGTGATATTTATATTATTTTAGATTTTGATTTTCTAATAAACATTTTGTTCAGTTAGTTGCCAATTGAGTTAAAAAGCCCAATTTTTTTAAGGAGTTTATTTATTCAGTGGCCTTTAAAACAAAATCATAAGTTTGGGTAGGACTTTACAAGTTTTTGTGATAAATGTCAAAACATTTTGAGAGGGATTTGAAGAAATATCTCAAACAGAGGAGCTCGTGCTTAACATATGTGACCCTCTGAGTTAGATCCTTAGTACCACATGTTCCCTTGGGTGCTGCTGAGGTGGTCTTGTTAGATCTCAAGTGATCTAGAACAGAGATCTCAAGTGATGTAAGACAGCACCAGACCCCCAGAACTGGGTCAGTGTGACCACATCCTCCCATGAATCCAAAAACCTGGGTGGGCCTCAATTAAACAGCCAAAGGACCATATAGTACTAAGGTTAAGGGACTTGCCTTGCACATGATTGAAGTTTGATCCGCAGCACCACACACAGTCCCCAAGCACCACTAGGAGTGATCACTGAGCACAGAACGAGGAGTATGTGGTGAGTACTTTTGAGTATTGCCCAAAAACCTTAAAAAAATTTTTTTGAGACACTGTCACTGTCACTGTCCTCCCGTTGTTCATCGATTTGCTCGAGCAGGCCCAGTAACGTCTCCACTGTGAAACTTATTGTTACTGTGTTTGGCATATCGAATACGGCACGGGTAGCTTGCCAGGCTTTGCCGTATGGGCAAGATACTCTCTGTAGCTAGCCGGGCTCTTTGAGAGGGGCGGAAGAATTGAACTCGGGTCAGCCACGTGCAAGGCAAATGCCCTACCCCCTGGGCTATCTCTCCAGGCTTTTTGAGACAAGTATATTTAAATATTCTGAAAGCTAATTAATAAAATCAAAATCTCAGTTAAAATTTTTGTCATCTAATGCTAACATTTTAAATTGGTAATTAAAAAATTATGATTATTATCATATTCATTGCTGTGTAATTTTACAGTTTACTGAGAGTGCCAAATCCTAACCACTAGACCTCCAGGGAAAGATAATTTACAGAATATTTTCAGTTATACTGCTACATATTCTTATTCCCATTTAAAATTTAATTTAATTTTTTTTATCTTAATGAATGACCGTGAGTTACAGGCTTACAAATTTTCATGCTTGCGTTTCATACAATGTTCAAGTACCCATCCCTCCACCAGTGCCCATTCTCTACCACCAATGTTCCCAGCATCCCTCCCACCACCCCCACCCCTGCCCCTGTGATAGACACATTCCCTCCTACTCTCTCTCCTTTTGGGAGTTATGGTTTGCAATATTGGCACTAAGCAGTCATCATGTTTGGTCCATTGTCTACTTTCAGCATGCATTTACCATCCCAAGTGATCCCGCCAATCATCATTTACTTAGTGATCTCTTCTCCATCCCACCTGCCTTTTCCCCCAGCACGTGAGATTGACTTTCAAGCCATGGGGTAATTCTCCTGGCCTTTATCTCTACTATCCTTAGGTGTTATTCTCCTATTATGTTACTTTATATTTCACAAATCTCATTTGAAATTCTGTATTGACTGTTTAGGACATTAGAAACCATTTGAATTTCTCTTTTCATGTGATTATAATTACTTTCAACATAACCAATAAATTGAGATCAAATTTTGGAATTATTTAATTTTTTAATTCAATAATTTAAATTACTTAAATGTTGGAAGTCAGTCTGAGTTATATCAGCTCTATAAGACTTGTGATTTTAGAAATATTATTCAGCTTCCTTATCCAAAGTATGTAAATAACAATATTTATTTTTATAGCATTATTACATATGTTTGGTTCCATTCCTGATATTTAGCAGGTATCCAACCAAAGGAAGCTTAATTTATATTCATTTTATTAGTTTAACTTATGTGGTAGAACTACAAATAACAACAGAGAAATACTATAAGGATAATCAGGAACAACCTGATAACTTTAAAGAAATCAGTTAAAAAATAACTGAGTTGCTTGGTTTTTTGTTTTTGTTTTATTTTTTTTAATGTACTGGGGATTCAACAAGAGCCGCTTTACTCATGCAGGGCACATGTTTGACCACTAAGCTACATCATGGTCCTGAAAATGAGATACTACATAGTAGTCACTAAGTCTATATGCCATTAGAACTTTTTTTTCCCTTTCTCTCTCTTGAGAGCATTAGAACTTTTTTAATTGGATAGGATAATGTGTTGCTGAACTGTACGTACACACACATATAGTGTATACACACACACACATATAGTATTTTTAAACTTTGATTTAATGATTATGGGGAACTATATGGGGTGCCCAGGATGGAACCCTGGTCAGTTATGTGCATAGCAAGTGCCGTACCTAATGTATTATCGCTCTGACCCCTGTTTTTATCTATTGGTCTAACCTCTGTTTTTAATCTATGGTTTAAGCCATGCCATTGATTTCAATTAAAAAAAATTGGGCCTCAGATATATATAAAAGAAATAGTACATATTTAAGGGTATTGAAGGTCTTATTCTTCTTAAGATTGAATGACATAAGTTTGGGTTCATTTGCTTTCTTGAAGACAGTTATTCAATAACAAAATTGTCTAACTTTTTTCAGAACCGTTCTGATTTTCAGTGCCAGCATCGGTGGCAGAAAGTTTTAAACCCAGAATTGATAAAGGGTCCATGGACTAAGGAAGAAGATCAGAGGGTAACATATTCATATTCTTTATTTTTACTGTGGAGGAGGAATAGCTTATTTTCTTTATAATACATTTTAAAAAATTTAGATAGTTAACATATAACATTAATTTCATGTATAGCACTGTAGCACCCCCCTCCCGTTGTTCATCAATTTTCTCGAGCAGGTACCAGTAATATCTCCATTGTGAGACTTGTTGTTACTGTTTTTGGCATATTGAATAAGCCACGGGGAGCTTGCCAGTCTCTGCCATGCGGGTGGGATACTCTCGGTAGCTTGCCAGGCATAATTATTTGGTATTTTTATTTTTTGAAAAATAGTTACATAAGTCTAAATCAATATCCATCATTATACCTAGTTAAATTTTTTTCTGGTGATGAAAACTTTGAAAATTTATCCTATTATTAAAAACTTTTAAATATGCAATATTTGTGCTGGTAACGATAGTGCTTTTGCTATATAATGTATCCCCAAAATTTATTTATAAATGGAATTTTGTACTATTTAATCCCTTCACCCATTTCTCCTACCCTCTCTTACCACTTTCCTTTGACAATAACCAGTATACACTCTATGAGATTTTTTTGTTTCAGTTTTTAAATATGACATATAAGTGAGATATAAGTGAGATCATAGAGTGTTTTCTTTTTATATTTGACATTTCACTTAGCACAATGCCCTTCTCCATCTATGTTGTCACAAATAGTGAAATTTTTTCTTTTTTAATTGCTGAATTGTTGGGTTGCATGTACAATTTTATATACATGTTGAGTACATACCACAATTTCTTTACTCATTAAAGATAAAAACTTATTTTGTTTCCATGACTTAGCTATTATAAATAATGCTCCAGTGACCTTGGGTGTTCAGATATTTCTTTTAGGGCTATAGATATATTTTGAATTAGTGTTCAATAAATATCCAGAAGTGAAATTACTGGGTCATATGATAGTTCTATTTTTAATTTATTTTTGGATTTGGGCCACATCCTGTGGTGCTCAGCTCTTACTCCTGGCTCTGTGTTCAGGGATCCCTCCTGGTGAGATTCACAGGACCATATGTGGTGCTGGGGAATGAACCTGGGTTGACCATGTGCAAAGCAGTGCCTTACTCACGTATTATCTCTCTGGGCCCTATTTTTAATTTTTTAAAAAAGAACCTTCATTCTGGCTTCTATAATGATTGCACCAATTTACATTCTCATCACCATTGCACAAATGTTAACTTTACTTCACATCCTTGCCAACACTTGTTATTTCTTATTTTTTAAATAATAGCCATTCTAACAGATGTGAGATACTATCTCATTGTGGTTTGGATTTGCATTTTCATTTTTCTGACAGTTAATAATGTTGAGAATCATACCTGTGGACCAGCTGCATTCTTTTTTGGAAATATGTTTATTCAGATTCTCTTTGCCCATTATAAAATCAAATTGTTTATTTGAAGTTGAATCTTGTGGATGTTTTATATATTTTGTTATTAGCCCCTTATATTGTTTTCGTGTTTTTTTTTAATTTGTTTGATTTGGGTCACACCTGATGGTGCTCAGGGACTAGTCCTGGCTTTGCACTCAGGAATTACTCCTGGTGGACTCAGGGGACCATATAGGATACTTGGGATCAAACCTAGGTTGGCTGTCTGCAAGGCAAGTTCCTTGCCCTCTGTACTATCTCCCTGGCCCCCATTTATGGAATTTTTAAGAAATTATAGTTGTAGTTTGTATAGAACACATTAAAAAACATAACTCAGTAGTTGTATTTTAAGATTCTCTTAATGTAAAACTTTTTTTTTTTTTTTGCTTTTTGGGTCACACCCAGCAATGCTCAGGGGTTACTCCTGGCTTTGCACTCAGGAATTACTCCCTAAGCGGTGCTTAGGGGACCATATGGGATGCCGGGGATTGAACCCAGGTTGGCCGCATGCATGGCAAACGCCCTACCCACTGTGCTATCTCTCCGGCCCAATGTAAAGCTTTTTAATTGAGATAATTTACATAAAACAGTTTCGAAAAAACGCCCCATTAGTTTCAATTGTGCAACATAGAAATTCAATACTTGTACACAAAAGAAATTCTTGTACACACATACACACAAAATTTAATCTTTTTTTTTATTTTTTAGGTTATTGAATTAGTTCAGAAATATGGGCCAAAAAGATGGTCTTTAATTGCAAAACATTTAAAAGGAAGAATAGGCAAGCAGTGTAGAGAACGATGGCATAATCATCTGAATCCCGAGGTAAAGAAGTCATCCTGGACAGAAGAAGAGGACAGGATCATCTATGAAGCACATAAGCGCTTGGGAAATCGTTGGGCAGAAATTGCCAAACTCCTTCCTGGAAGGTGCTTACATAAATGTATATGCATTTTTCTATACTTAAACTTGATCATTATTTTTGTTACTATTAAGTATACTTTTACTTATAATTAAAATTTAGACTCCATAACATAGCATCTTTGGGACTACTCATGATAAATGTTGTTTTTAGTAAAATATGATATAGCAATTGTTTGCTCAATAAATAAATTTTATGAACTTTATTTACTCCCCAAATCATGCTTACACATCATTGCAGATCAGGCAGATGCAAACTTTTCAATTTATAGCTTGTCAGAATATCATTTTTCTTGTACAAACTAAGTTGGAATGGAATCTGAATTGAACAGATTTCTATTTGTTTGTTTGTTTGTTTGTTATTTTCTCCTGGCTTTTTGCTCAGGAATCATTCTTTGCAGGGTTTGGGGAACCATGTGGGATTCCAGGGATCGAACCAGGGTTGACCACATTGAAAGGCAACCGCCCTTCCTGTTGTACTATCACTCCAGCCCCTTGAACAGATTTTTTTTAAAAAAAAATTGGATTATATCTTTAAAACCAGAGGATAATAGATGATAATACTGAAATAAACTACTCTAAAGATTATCTCCAAAAGTTCATTTTTTTCACTTTTGTTTAGAAAATTTAGTCTTAATTATGGTATAATTCAAATCATGGGAGCGACGGTTATATTCATGTGTTTAAAAAGTATTTTCCTCACAAGCAATGATATGCTAAGTACATTTGCACTTTTCAAGTGTTTCTTAATAGTCTCTATATTGTTCAGTACACTAACAATCTTAGGGAAATCTACACTTATACAAAAGAAATGTATTTGATTTTTATTGTTGTAATCTATTATCTCTGTTGTATTTTATAATTTGTATATTGTTTTTGCATCTATTCTATTTTCTTTTAACAAATAGACTAAAATAGCTCTCAGATGAGGAACTATTCTTGGCAAGGAACTATGGCAGCTTTTTCTGTTGTTACTGGGAAACCATGCTATGCCAGGGAGCAACCAGGTCTTCCCCTTGTATTCTAGCTTTTTGAGCCATCTCCCTCACCCTTATGTATATTCTTAATTATTCTTTAAATAGATGTAAAACATACAAAGCACACACTGCTATCATTTATATATCTATATATATGTATATCACGGTCCTCCCGTTGATCATCGATTTTCTTGAGCGGGCCCAGTAATGTCTCCATCATGAGACTTGTTGTTACTGTGTTTGGCATATTTAATACGTCACCGGTAGCTTGCCAGGCTTTGCTGTGCGGGCGAGATACTCTCGGTAGCTTGCCGGGCTCTCCAAGAGGGGCGGAGGAATCGAACTCGGGTCGGCCATGTTGGCCGCTTGTAAGGCAAACGCCCTACTGCTGTTCTATTGCTCCAGCCCTTGTATGTATATATACATATATGTATATATAAGAAAGTTAAAGTACTATATTATTTTTGTCTAAATGAATGGTCCTGGTTTTGAAATTTCTCTGTTATTTTTCCTCTTTGATGATAATTTTTGCCAGACTCCTTTCTGGAAGGTGCTTATATAAATGTATATGCATTTTTCTATACTTAAACTTGATCTTTATTTTTGTTACTATTAAGTATACTTTTACTTATAATTAAAGTTTAGACTGCTGTGTGGGCTTCAAGGTTCAGTGCTGCATGTGCCTACTTGGGTACCCACCCACAGCAGTGCTCATGTGGTGTCAGAGATCGAACTCAGGGTCTCTGCATATACTGCAGGACTTTGAACTATCTCTGGGACTCTGTTTTTAAGCTCTTTTACATATTTTTAACTATCCATAGACTCCACGCAGTGCCCTAATACGCAGTAGTAGGTCCTCAATTTGTATATTTTATGAAGGATACAAATTACATTGCAGATTTATGTTTTTTGAAAGATTTACATTTTTTTATAGAGAGAAGTAAGGTTCAAATGAAAGCCAGTGAACTTTTTTTTCTATGGTACTTTGTTCTAGCAAGTGAGGAATATTACAGGGATTCTACAATTTGTACTTTTCTTTTCATGAACATTTTTGTTTCTGATTTTAAGACTTTTCTCACTATGTTCTTTACTAAAAATGCTCTTTTTTTTTTTAAAAAAAATGGATGGCTAATTCTTCTTAGGTTTTAGCTTTAATGGCCTATCATGAGCCACCTGGTCAAAATTATTCTGGTTACTCACTTTTCTTATTCTACTTAAATGATTTGATTTCATTGACATTCTTTTTATTCTACTTCTTCCTTCCATGCTATTATACTTCCGTCAAGAATGTTAACCTTGGGACCATAATAGTACAGCAGGGAGGACATTTGCCTTGCTTACAGCTGACCCTGATTCCATCCCCGGCATCCCATCTGGTCCACTGAGCACTGCCAGGAGTAATTTCTGAGCGCAGGCAGAGCCATAAGAAACCCCTGAAGATTGCCAGATATGGCCCCAAAAGCAAAACAAACAAACAAACAAAAAATTTTAACCCTTTATGAGGTCAGGAACACTTTTTGCCTTATTACTCCTGTAACTTCAGTGCTTGAGTTGTGCCTGACATTGATTTTTTTTTATTTCACCAGTTGTAGCACTGTGGCACTGTCCTACTGCTGTGCTATCACTCCACCCTCACCAGTTGTAAAGAACTTTAAACACTTTGTACACTGTAAATAGTGTTAAAATTTTTAGAATTTAAAAAAAATTATATACTCTGATTTCTTAGGACTGATAATTCAATCAAGAATCATTGGAATTCTACTATGCGAAGAAAAGTGGAACAGGAGGGTTACTTACAAGATGGAATAAAATCAGAACGATCTTCAGCCAAACTTCAACACAAACCTTGTGCGACTATGGACCATTTGCAAACCCAGAATCAGTTTTACATACCTGTTCAGGCACATACTTTTAATACTTTTATTATTTAATATTTTAAAAATTGCTGTATGGGGCGCGGTTTGGTTTCTTAGAGGATAAATATAATGTATCTGAAAGGAAATAAATATTTAAATTTTCAAACAAAAAAATGTGCCATAACTAGCATCAAACAGCTAGAGGTTTATCTCTACTTGTTATAATTGATATAATTTTGATCAATACTCAGTATGATTCCTAAAGCTAATGGTTAGTTTTATTATCATAGTTTTCTTTTAAACAAAAATTTGTTATTGTAGTATTGCTTATTTATAAGAAATAAGTGCATATAAATGGCTTAAAAGAGACAATAGTTAAAAAGTCACTCAAGCCATAATATTGGAAGATATAATAAATTTTTGGTTCTTTGCTCTTTCCCCTAATAACTAGTCACTTGAGAGACTAGTTTTTGTTTAGACTGGCTCATTTGAGCAGAGATTACCTGAGCTCATACTTGGATAAGCTAGATAAACATAGCATGTTTACATACAGGCTTTTTCTTAACCTGCACGAAATTAATTTAGGGGTTTCATAAGACTCTCATTTTTCATAATGAACAGTTCTTGATTCTTGTTACCTAAATTATAGGTTAGGATTTACCAGTACCTACTAGTGGCCAGAGCGATAATACAGCAGTTTGGGTGCTTGCCTTGCACACAGCCAAAGTGGGTTCCCTAGCAAACCACACAGTCCCCTCAGCTAGCTCAGAGCCAAGACTTAAGCCCTGAACACTGCTAGGTATGACCCCTACCCCTTCCGAACATATTATCTACCAAATGCTAACATTTGGTAGGTAGTAAAATCCTATGCTTAGTTTATCTCAGGTTTGGTTTTAACCTGTTAACTGGATATTATTTTTAGATAGAACTTTAAAGAACTACTGAAAGTAATAACATCTTAGTTTACAAATAGGAAAACATGAAGACAGTGTAGTTACCACTGATACTCAATACCTTAAAATTTTTTGTCTTTTTCTCTACATTTATTTTAGCCCTGTATTTCAGCAGTATAAAGTGAAACAATCTGATTGTATCTTAGAAAAGTTATCATTTAAATTTTTAACTCCCAGAAGAATAATCTTAAAATTATTATTTGGGGCCAAAGAGGGGTGTTTAACAGTGCCAATTAAAATATGTTGGAAAGTATGGGTATTTTCATGTGCTTTAAGAATTTCTTGCCTTTTAATTTTTAAAAGATTTATATATTCATAGTTGAGTTTATTTAAAATTTAAAAGGTAATTCTTTTTTTGTTGTTATTTTTTGCTTTGGGCCATAGCCAGGTTGGTTGCATATATAACAAATGCTTTATCCGAACTGTCTCTCTGGCCTGTCTAATTTTGATTTAAAGATGAGTTGACTTGAAATACAGATCTTAATGAGGGATTTGAAAAAGATAAGATTTTGATTTATTGGAGTTACCAAGCTGAGCATGATTGATAATAATCAAGTATTCTAAAAGATTTTTTTTTTCTTTTTGGGTCACACCTGACGATGCACAGGAGTTAGTTACTCCTGGTTCTGTACTCAGGAATTACTCCTGGTAGTGCTCAGAGGACTGTATGGGAGGCTGGGACTCGAAGCCGGGTCGGCCGTGTGCAAGGCAAATGCCCTACCTACTGTGCTATCGTTCCAGCTCCTACTTTCTAAATTTTTAAGGTTGATATTTTGTCAAGAGTTGTTGTGCTTTCCCTCAGAATGAAAGCTTTTATAATGTTATATGTTATTTATTTTTTTAGATCCCTGGGTATCAGTATGTGTCACCTGAAGGCAATTGTGTAGAACATGTTCAAACTTCTGCCTTTATTCAGGTAACTTTTTATTTATAAGTAAAAAACTAGAGGAAAAAAGGAACATGCTTTTAAATTTTTTAAAAAGTTTAAAAATTATTTCCTCATTATGAACTGGGACAAAACAATACCACTTATTGTGCTATTTACTTTGTTTTATGTCATTAAAGAGGAGTTTAGACCTTTGTAAGTGAACTATAAGTGCTGCAAATGTAAGTTGATTACGATTATCAGTAAGGCAGTAATTTAATTTTATTTAATCATATTTTTCTTTGTTTAAGCATTCTTAAGCACCAACTAAGTGTTCACATTATAGATCGACATGTTCTTTTGCTAAATTGTATAGAATATATAAAATTAAAGTAAAAATTATCAATAAAATATTTTAAAGTGTTTATTTTTAACTTTTTAAAAAATTTTAAAGTGATCTAATTTAATTTCCCAGATATTTTAAGTGGATAATATTTACTAGTGCTATTTAACAGAGGAATTTTAATGCTTCATATTTAAGACTTCGAGGTAATTAAGAGTTATTAAGAAAAATATTTTCTGTTGCATAGAATAAAATGAGAGCTGGAGAGTTAGTACAGCAGGTAGGGTGCTTGTCATGTATGCAGCTGACCGGGGTTCCATTCCCAGAATCTGATATGGTCCCCAAGCCACTGCCAGGAAATTTCCTGAGTGCAGAGTCAGGATTTACCCCTGAGCACTATCAGGTGTGTCTCCACACCCCCCCCCCCCCCGCCTTTCCAAAAGATTCATAGAGTAAATTATAATTAAAATATAATAAAGCAATTATGTAAGTAACTTGGTTTGGTATTTTAATCTCACTTATTTTAGCAACCCTTTGTTGATGAAGATCCTGATAAAGAAAAAAAAATAAAGGAGCTTGAGTTGCTTCTAATGTCAGCTGAAAATGAAGTTAGAAGAAAGAGAGTTCCATCGGTAAGAAATAAATTTAAATTTGATTTTATTGTTAGGCCTTTTTTATTCTTTTATAGTTTTCATCAGCACTGATTTTCAATGTCAAGTGGAAAGCATATATCAGTGCGACTGCAAATTTTAATATGAACTAAAAATAAATTTCTAATTGCATATTTTATGATATTCTGTGTTAAGATCATTCTTGAGTCACACATGTCAAGCAGATTTAACATATGATCTTAGATATATGCATTTGTGAAAATTGTGGTTGAGAGTAAGCTTTGTTTTTATTTTAGACATTCCGTATAATATAATGATAATTTTATAAAATATACATAAAGCTTAAAAAATAAAAACTTTTTAAAACATTTGCCTTTATTTTTATTTATTTATTTATTTTTGCTTTTTTGGGTAACACCCGGCAATGCACAGGGGTTACTCCTGGCTCTGCACTCAGGAGTTTCTCCTGGCGGTGCTCAGGGGACCATATGGGATGCTGGGAATCGAACCCGGGTCTGCCGTGTGCAAGGCAAATGCCCTACCCGCTGTGCTATCTCTTCAGCCCCCCCCCAAAATAACTTTAGAATAGAGACTTATGTACTCAAAATTACTGTTAATCTATCTTTGAAAAAATGTCCTGTATATACACTTAGAATATGAATTGAATAAATTTAAAAAGTTAATAACATTAAAAGTATAGCAACTAAAATGTGAATAGGAAATTAAAAGTATGCACACTAAGTGATAATTTTTAAAACTATCATGAGACTTTTTATTTAAAGAAATGGTTTTTCTTTTTTGGTGCTGAATGGGACAACAAAATATTTAGAGTGAGAGCTAATACAAAAGTATTGACTTGATATCTTGAAATATATTATGAGGAAACTGATGATGTCTTTATGCCATTAAGGGAGTATGTTTTGGACTGGAGATAGAGCTTGATGGTAGAACACATGCCTTGCCAGTGTGAGGACCTGGGCTCAGTCTCCAGGAGCATGCACACACATAATACAGGACGTTTGTTCTTTGTAATATATGAGATAAATATCATAGGAAAAATAGTTTTAAAGCTAAAAAACATGGATGAACAGGAAGAATGAAAAGTAATTAATTTTACTTATATTAATAACTAAAAAACGAGGGATCATGGTTAGTGAGTCCTTATTTGTAGATCATATCATGTTTAAATCATTTTGGGACTTTTTTTATAATGGTGTTTTTTAAATTTAGTAGAAAATAAAACTAGCTAAAAGAATTGGGATTTTACATTAAAAAATGAAGTTAGAGATTGGAGACTTTTACTTCTACTTTCTAGGGGTAAGTTGCTGCACGGAGTAGATTTAGAGACTTTGTGCCACATAATTATTCTTTTTCTTACTGGAGCGATAACACAGCAGATAGGGCGTTTGCCTGGTACAAGGTTGACCCGGGTTCGATTCCTCAGCCCCTTTTGGAGAGTCCGGCAAGCTACCAAGAGTATCCTGCGTCATGGCAGAGTCTGGCAAGCTCCCTGAGGCGCATTTGATATGTCAAAAACAGTAACAGCAAGTCTCACAATGGGGACGTTACTGGTGTCCACTCGAGCAAATCGATGAACAACGGGAGGACAGTGCTACAATGCTACAGTGCTACTCACCTGTAAATTTATTTGAAATACATATAGGTCTGGAGAGCTAGCTCAAATGTGCTGAACACATGTTTTGCATCCAGGGGACCTGGGTTCAGTCATCAGCAGTTGTAGGAATGGAGCTATAGTACATACAGTGTGTAGGGCAGTTGTCTTGTATCAGGCTGACCCAGAGTTCATCTTTTGCACTCAGTATCGTCCCCTGAGCCCACCAAGAGTGATCTCTGAGAGCAGAGCCAGGAGTATGAGTACCTCTGGGTGTGGCCTAAAAATTAACTGCCCATGCCAGAATTGAAAATGTATCTATGTAAATAAGAATAGGCATTTAAAATAGTATATTAAATATTTTAATTTTATTAACATAGGTCAAAATAATATAGTCGTCAAAATTTGACCCTTAATGATCATTTTCTAATCATTCTGTTTGCCAGTTCTTCAAGTTTTGTTTTTTATTTAAGTCATTAGAAAACCTGACTAAAAAGGATAAGTAAATCATTCTGTGTATATCACTAGAGAGAAAAAGGAGACTGTCACAATTAATGACCTTAAGGGATTTATCTGCAATTAGGACTGAAACAAGAAACAGTATATAATGTAATAAATTTTCATGCGAGCGCATGGGATAGATGTCTAATTGAATTTTAGCTAGTTTGTAAAGAGTTCTAGGAAGAAACCTGTTTGTGGTCAGTCTTGAAAAGCAGGTGATGATAGTAAGATCCGTGAGCTAGCCTTTTGCCCTAAATGGAATAGGTGAATATTTATAATTAGATTAACTACAATCTAGTATTTGAATCATATTTAAAGTGGGAAATAGGTGTTATCCTGGTTAGTAAATCAGGAATCATCTTAGACAAAAGGAATAGCAGCATGTACAAAGTTACTTCGGAGCCAAAAACTGATTCATCAAGGAATTGGGTACTAAAATAGACACTTTGGGATATGAACTTAAAAAGAGAAAGAAGCCAGAATTTAGTCATTTAGATTTTATGTTGTATATTCTTTTTTTTTTTGTATATTCTTGTTTGTTTTGTCTCACCGTGATTTTATGATTCAATAAGATTTTTCTTAAAAGATATTGTCAGAATTTAAGGTTTAATGAAAGAATTTTATGTAAAATTTGTAGAAATTATGTTTTTAGCTGAAATTTGTACAGTGTGTTGTTGTAGGAAAGTAACTCCTACTTAATCCAAACTTATGTTTTGGCTGAGAATGACAAGTAATATTCACCTTTTTTTTTTTTTTAACTTTTAGCAGCCTGGAAGCTTTTCTAGCTGGTCTGGTAGTTTCCTCATGGATGATAGCATGTCTAATACTCTAAATAGCCTCGAGGAGCATACTAGTGAGTTTTACAGTATGGATGAAAATCAGACTGTATCTGCTCAGCAGAATTCACCCACAAAGTTCCTGGCCGTAGAGGCAAATGCTGTGTTGTCCTCTCTACAGACCATCCCAGAATTTGCAGAGACTCTAGAACTTATTGAATCTGTAAGTTTGAAATTTTAGATATGGAAAGCTCAATTCAGTGACATGGACATTAAACTGAGTTCAGCAACTCAGTTTAATGGACACTGACCAATTTTTATTGTTAAGCATTACTTTTGGTTTGTTTTGTTTGTTTTTCTGGTACAAGGATTGAACTAAAGACCTCATACACATGAGGCAAGTATTCTGCCACTGAGCCACTCGCTGGCCCCTAAGCATCACATTATATGTCAGTCTTATTTTTGTTCTAATACTTTGCATTGGATTCTAGCAAATTAAAAAAAAATCTGAAGTATGTACTTTGTATGGATGTTTTAAAAAATTTTTTTGACAATTTACTTTTTTTATATCAATTTTATGTAAGTATGTCAGAGAATTAGAGATGAAAATTAGAGAAAATTATAAAGAAAAGAAAGTCCTGTATACTGAGTTAATAGTTTGCTGAAGTTCCTTTCAGGTCATGTTCTATACATAATGATGTACATATGCATATATATGTTTACCTATATATTTTTTAATTAATTACTTTTTTTGAGGAAGCCATACCCAGTGATGCTTTGGGGGTGTTTTGGGAACTGTTTTCCTGCCCTGTTTGAGGGACCATGTGGTATTGGGAATCAAAGCCAGGGCTGCTGCTTGAAAGGCATGAACTCTAGCCCTTTAAGTTCTCTTCCTGGCTTCAAAGAGTTAGTCTTTTGTTATCATTTGTTTTTTTTGTAGTGCCAAGGATCGAACCCAGGAACTCACACATGCAAGGCAAGTGCTTTACCCACTTGGTTATATCCCTGGCACATATACACCATATTTTAAAACCCAGACATAGACTTTTTGGTGTGTATGTGGGGGGGAGGTGGGGCTCCTAAGCACTCCCAGCAATACTCAGCCTGGACAGCAAAATGGTTCCGTGCTCAAGCTGGTAATTTGGTATTGTTTGGCCCTAGCAGTTCTAGGAGCCCCAGATTTACTCTGGTAGTGCTTGGAGACCCCCCAGGGCCACACTCAACATTACTCAAGGACCATAGGGTACAAGGATTCAACTTGGAGCTGTTAAATGCCAGGCATGCTCTCCAGTCCTTTGAACTATCTCTCCAGCAAACACAGATACATTTGTATAATATTCATTAATTTGTTTTTCCCAGAATAAATCATAATTATGCCTGCTGATTATGAAATTTGAGTTTAGCATCTCCATAATATTTTATCATATGAATGTACCAAAATTTATTCACCCGATGTATAATTATTGGACATTAAGTAGTGACCAATTTTTCAGTATTGTAAAATTATATAAGACAAGTTTTTATGCACAATAATGATTATGTTCTTAGTTTAAACTGATCTGTTAGGTTACACAGTTTTGTGTAAACATTTTAGACTTATTCCATACATGTTACAAATGATTGTATAGAATTTGGTAGAACTTTTCTGATATAGAAGTGTGAGAATTTTTCTGATAAATTGTTCTCTATTAATTACTTTAAAATAATTGATTCCTCTTGTTTGAAATACATTGATAATCAACTTCAGCTAGTGAATTATAATAAATATTATTTGGGGATATTTCAAATTGGAATCGTTGGAAAAAGTATCTCTCAATGGTATTGATTTTTTTTTAAATGATGAACAAGAAAAGCATAATTGTGATGATAAAAATGAGTAATTCTGTTAACCTCATCTTGTGTTTAAGATCAGATTTATCTAGGTTATAGCATTAAATATAGTAAATAACTTATTTTTTTTCAGGATCCTGTAGCATGGAGTGATGTTACCAGTTTTGATCTTTCTGATGCTGTAGCTTCTCCTGTCAAGTCCACCCCAGTTAAACTAATGAGAATTCAACACAATGAAGGAGCCATGGAATGTCAATTTAATGTCAGTCTTGTACTTGAAGGGAAAAAAAACAATTGCAGTGGTTCAGATAACGGTTCAGAGGCTGTTCCTTTAACATCTCCAAGTGTGGTCAAATTTAGCACTCCACCAACTATTCTCAGAAAAAAGAGAAGAATACGAGTGGGCCAGTCCCCAGGCAGTGAACTTAGTGATGGCTCATTTAATGACAGCAATAATACAGCATTAAAACACACACCAGTGAAAACACTACCGTTTTCTCCTTCACAGGTACCAATGATGTTCTTTTTGTTGTTGAAGAGGGGTGGGGTGCAGGGGGGAATATTCTCCTGGTAGTGCTAGTCATAGTCGTGATGATGCTTGGGCCCTAGGAATGCTTTGGGGAATTGCCAGTTATAGAAGTATTTCTGTTTATATTTATAAATGTTGATGAAATATATTAAATTTGTTCTTCAGTGTTCTTAATGTTCCTTTGAAACATAAAAAATTAGTATGCATTGAAGTCTTTCACAAAGTATATTAAATTCATTATAATATTAATATAATTTTGAGAGCTAATAGGGTTTTTTTCTTCTTTCTTTTTTTAATTGAATCAACATTAGATATAGTCACAAAATTGTTTGTGATTGGGTTTCAGTTATACAGTGTTCCAACACCTTTCTCTTCACCAGTGTAGATTTCCACCACCAGTGTCCTCAGTTTTCCTCTCTGCCCTCCTAGCCTGCCACTATGGCAAACTTTCGTCCTCTTCCTCCTCCTCCTCCTCCTCCTCCTCCTCCTCCTTTTTCTCCTCCTCTTCCTTTTCTTCTTCCTCTTCCTCTTCTTCCTCTTCCTCTTCCTCCTCCTCCACCTCCTCTTCCTCCTCCTCCTCCTGCTGCTGCTGCTTCTGCTGCTTCTCCTCCTTCTCCTCCTCCTCCTCCTCCTCCTCCTCCTCCTCCTCCTCCTCCTCTTCCTCCTCCTTCTCTCTCTCTTTCTCTCACTCGCTCTCTTTCTCTCTCCTTTTAGGCACTGAGTTCTGCAGTACCATTACTGAAAGGATATCATGCATATCACTTTTCCTCCTTTAAGCACCCAGTTCTTGTTAATAGGAATGTTTTAGATGCATAGTTTCATATCTTTATAGGACTCATCAGGAAATAGACACAGAAAGGTAAAATGGTTTTCCCAAGTCTGTCATCTTAGTATGGTAGACCTGAGACTGAGATCCAGTTTCCTAACTAATTATTCAACATGTATAAGGTATAGACGACATATATACATATATATATATATACAAGAATTACACATATGCTTACACTGTTTAATCACATTCTGATTGTAAACACACTTTAGTTGTGGGTCTCTCACATAGATGGTTTTCATATAATAAGAAATTAGCTGCAGTGCCAGAGATCAGAGACAACTGAAATACCAGGTACAAGCAGCAGAATTGCCAGGATCATGCATGTGGACAGTACTGAGATCAAACTCATGGCCTCACAGTTGCAGAACAGGCCTTTTCCCCGTTTGAACCATCTTTGACCCCCCTCAGTAATTTTTCCTTAAGATAAATTAGGAAATAACATGAAAATTTTTATAGGTTTATGTGTAAGGATTTTTGATGTTCTGAAAATGGTCTTTAACCTCTTTTCCTTTTGTAGTTTTTTAACACATGTCCTGGAAATGAACAGATTAATATAGAAAATCCTTCATTTACATCAACCCCTATTTGTGGGCAGAAAGTTCTTATTACAACTCCTCTTCAGAAGGAAACAACCCCGAAAGATCAAAAGGAAAATGTGGGGTAAGTAGCGCTGTAGCACAGTAGCACTGTCCTCTCGTTGTTCTTCAGTTTGCTTGAGTGGGCACCAGTAATGTCTCCATTGTGAGACTTGTTACTGTTTTTGGCATATCAAGTATGCCATGGGGAGCTTGCCAGGCTCTGCCAGGTGGGTGGGATACTCTCGGTAGCTTGTTGAGCTCTCTGAGAGGGAGTGTGGTAAGTAGGCATTTAAAAAAAAAAATTTTAGAGAAGATGGGAAGCAGTTTTAGGAGTAGCTTAGTTTTTTATCTTTACATGTAATCACATGTAAAGAAAAATCACATGTAAGAAAAATCTTAGAATTTCTGTTTTTATTTTTGTTTTTCTTTTGGGGTCTCACTCAGAGATGCTCAGGGATCACTCCTGGTTTTACACTCAGGAATTACTCCTGTCTGTGCTCGGGAGATCATATGGGATAACAGGGATTGAATCCAAGTCAGTCACATGCAAGGTGACTTGATACCCACTGTGCTATCGCTCCAGCCCCTATCTTAGAATTTTTATATAAATCATAACCTGTGTTTTATTCCTAAAATGCTGAAAACCAGCCATATGTAGTGTGAATTTTTAATCTCAATTCAAACAATGTTTTCATTACTTTTTTCTACATTTGTCCATTTTAAGATGATTGATTGGAATAAGAATTAGTTTGGATAGACATACTTTAAAATAATCCTAGAATGTTTAAATAATTTGTAGGTACAAAAGGAATTTTTAGTGTGCACTGTTAAACAGGCTTTGCCTTTATTTCATGAAATCAAATTTTCTTTAACTCATTAGATTATTGAATCATTTTGACTGTAATACAAATATCTAAATATTTTAATAGGTTTAGAACACCTACTATTAGAAGATCTTTATTGGGTACTACACCAAGAACTCCTACTCCTTTTAAGAATGCACTTGCTGCTCAGGAGAAAAAATACGGACCTCTTAAAATAGTGGTATGTACAGTCTTAATTTTTGATAATTTTCTAATTTCTAATATAAAAATGGATTTTTAACATTTTTAAATGCTCACTTTCTTCTCATGATTTTTAAAATAATTTGAATTGTTAATACTTTTCATTAAATTTTTTGCCTGACTTCTATTGAATTTTTATTTTAAATTATTTCATCTAAAGAAAGCAAATCAAGTGTCATGGAACCCCTTAATACTAAATGTAATTCTTATTTTCAGTAGTGGCTGCCTACAGTAGACCAAAACAGTTCATATGTATGTTCTTTCCTAATAATATTGACCAAAGTAATTGATCAGGATACCTCTTTTAAGGCTCATTTTTTTCTATGTAGTGAAGATCATAAATATATCCAGGGGTAATTTGTAAACATAAATGAGGCAATAGAAATATAGGAACAAGTACTGATTTTTAAGTAATAAAAGCTTTATTACTGCTATTATTATTAATAATATTATTATTATACATAACAGTAATAAAATAATATAATACTGCAGTTATTGTTGCAGAGATCACATCTAATAGTGCTCAGGGGCTGTTTGGCTGTTAGGGATTGAATCCAGATCAAGACATATACTTTCACTGAAACCACATAGCCAATCCTTCTGCTACAATTAACCTTTAATAATAGTGGTATTAATAGTAGGTTGTGAATAAGTAGAGGTAGGAAGTGTTACCTGGGCTTTCATGTGTGTATTTAGATGTCTATGTATGTATACAGAAATATATGGTTATATACACAGGCAACTTTGAAGTATCTAAGATTATCATGGGCATTCTAATTCTTGGTAAATAAAGATTTCTGACAGGTTTATTAGAAATTTAAAAATGATGAAAGTTGTTGATTGCTTCTAGGGTACTTTTTTGTTTGATTTTGGGCCAAACCCAGCAGTGTTTAGAGCTTACTCCTGACTCTGTGCTCAGGGATCACTCTTGGGCAACCACATGTGGTTCCAAGGATTAAAACCTAGGTTGGCTGTATGCAAGGCAAATGCCTTCCCATCTGTACTTTTTCTCTGACCCCACTTAGTGTACTATAACTATTTTATATTTAGTCACATTTCAGGTAGTTTCACCAAGTACTAGTTTCATTGACTTAAAGTGACTGAAAAATGTCACATTCAAATCTTCTTACTCATTGATCAACTCTTTTTGTCACTTAGGTGTGAACAGCCATATTCTTTCTAGAGCTCTATTGACTTTTTAGGCATATACACATAACAAAAGTGAGATAATATTTGATGTAAAACTTTGTTAGCTTTAAAATTTAACTGTTAATAAATGTTTATCATAGCTATTATGATTTATTCAACAGCTATATATTTAATGCCTAGTGGGCTCCAGGCATTGGGTAGGCTTTGGGGATATAACACTGAACATATCAAGTATGGCTTCTGTTTTCACAGGGAAGTTAAGGAAGTAAGATAGCTTAATTGGGAGTTAAACAAATAAACACAATTTGTAGGCATTTAAAAATTTTGTGGTACCTCAGGTTATTTGATCATGTTGGATAAAAATGATCTTCTATAAAAATAGTACATGAAAAATGAGATTTCAAATGATTTTTGAACATTATTATGAGATTGTGTATATTGGAAATATTTTATTTTCAAAACAATCATCTTCATCAGTAATTTAAGGTACAAGGAGAGTGATGATTCAGTTATTTAAGGTACTAAAATATCTGTAGGCTCATACATTATTTGTTGTAGGGTATCTTGTCTTTTCATTCTTCTCATTTCTTTTTCAGTTGTCTACTGTCAATTGTCTGTTGTCAATGTATCATTGACGTTTGAATTCTAATTATCTCATCCTAAATATAAACATTATCCTTATGTTTAATAAAAATTACTTAAAGGGCCAAAAATTTGATATATTTTACATAAAATTCATAAATTATCTTATATCAAACCTGAGAAGTATTTAATGCATTTTTTTTGTGCCATTAGGATAATTAAGAGAATAATTCTTGGTAGGGAATGAGGTCATCTATGTATTGATCAGTTCTCTAGAACAATGGTATATATTTTTGATGGTTCCTGAAATAGTGCTCAGGGGGCATTCCTAGGCATACTTGTCCTGGTGCTGCTTGGGTCCAGCAGTGCTGGGAACCACTGGGACTCTGATGGTGCTCAGGGGACCATGCATTTCCGGAATTTAAACAGGGTCCTCAGCATGCTAGTCATGTGCTCCTGTCCTGTAAGTTCTCTCATGCCCAAATTTTATATTCTTTTTCATAAAATTTTTATGTTTTTATTAAGACACTATGATTTGCAAAATTATTCATAGTTGTGTTTTAGGCATACAATGTTCCAGCACCTGTCCCTCTGCCAGTATCACCAGGTTCCCTTCCACCCCACCCAGCCGCCTAGTCAGCCTCCTGAACAGGCACATATTTTAAGTTTGGTTGTTGTGGTTTGAATTTCCTGTCTGTGGTTTGAATATATAGCTATACCACTTCTCTACACCATCAATTTGTAGTCTTAAGGAAGAAAAAAGAGATTTCAGATTTTATTTTAAGAACACTTAATTTATTTTCTTTGTGAAACGTAATCCTCAAAACAAAGCTCTTGGAGCAAGACATAGAAATACTGACACATTTCCTGCATGTCTCAGCCTGTAGATGAGTTATTTTTAAATTTCTAGTTCATTTAAAAAGTCTTTGTAAGTGCTATGGAATCTTATTTATTGTGAATGATATTTTTCTTTTCTTTATTTTTCCTCCAGAAGACTGACCTATCAATGCTATTTTTCTAACTTTGCTGGTTGAGATATAAGCCACTGGTCTTTTAGTGTTAGTTTTTTTAATTTAGTGTAGCATTGATGTATTTTTGTTCATTTATTTTGCTTCTCTTTTAAAAAATTCTTTTAATGAAGAAACTGTGATTTAGAATTTTTTTTCATAAAAGACTTGTTTCAGGCATACAGAATTCCAACACCAGTACCACCATTACCATCCCCTTTCGTCCACCTGTGTCCCCAGGTTCCCTCCCACCCTTCAGCCTGCTTCCTTGGTAGGCATATAGCAAATTTATATCATTTGCTGTATCACTGTATCACTGTCATCCTGTTGTTCATCGATTTCCCCGAGCAGGCACCAGTAATGTCTCCTTCGTCCTAGCCCTGAGATTTTAGAAAGTGCCACATTCGAGGCTCTTTCGAGGTCAGGAGAATGAGACCCATCATTGTTACTGCTTTTTGGCATATTGAATAGGCCACGGGGAGTTTGCCAGACTCTGTCGTGTGGGCAGGATACTTTTGGTAGCCTGCCAGGTTCTAGTTCAGAACTAGATAATAAGATGTGTATTATGCTTCCAGGAGCTGGGTCTTATAGTCTCTGGGTCTTGGCCATTGATAGTATTACACGGTGCTGGGGCCGTTGGTGGGTGTAATGCCTACATACTGGAAGATGGAGGATCTGGGTGGAGGAGGCCCAGTCCCAATCCAAGCAGGCTTGGAGATGTACACCCCAGGTCCCGCACACCTGGGTTCCTCTGCCGGTTCCTTCATGCATGAGGCTCGTCCAAACTTGTGGAGAGTGGTCTTAAGCATGGCTTTGGCTGGAACCAGAGGTCTTCAGCTACCAGGGCTCTTCTTGGGGTGGGGAGGGAAACTCAACCCACCCTCCTCCAAGGAGCCCTGGTGAGGAAAGCCAGGTGTGGAGGCAGGAGACTGTGGTGTTCTCTTCTGGGAGCTGGGTTTTATAGTCCCTGGGTCTTGGCCGTTGATGGGATTACACGGATTGGGACTAGGCCTCCTCCACCCAGATCCCCCATCTTCCAGTATGTAGGCATTACACCCACCAATGGCCCCGGTGCTGTGTAATCCCATCAACTGCCAAGACCCAGAGACTATAAAACCCAGCTCTGGGAAGAGAGCAGCGCAGTCTCCTTCCTCCGTGCCTAGCTGTCCTCACCAGGGCCCCTTGGAGGAGGGTGGGTTGAGTTTCCCTCTACACCCTGAGCAGAGCCCTGGCAGCTGAAGACCTCCTGTTCCAGCCACAGCCATGCTTAAGACCACTCTCCACACGTTCGGACGAGCCTCACGCATGAAGAAACTGGCAGAGGAACCCAGGTGTGCGGGACCCGGGGCGTAGATCTCCAAGGCTCCTCTGATTGGGACTGGGCCTCCTCCATCCAGATCCCCCATCTTCCAGTATGTAGGCGTTACACTCACCATTTGCTCTAACGAAATTTAAAGAAATGGCAAGTAAAATTATCAGAAAATAAATCAACAAAAATCAAGTTGTAGTGATTGATTGTTTTATGACTTAAGCTGAAGTAAAGAAATTCAAGTAATTTAATACAATATATTATATTGCCAATTCTCATTTACATATCTAAATTTTCAACTCTGGCATCTAAAATATATTGTATTAAATTTAATTTGTACTTGGATCTTATTGCAGTAATCATCAGATATTCTCTGTCATAAATGAAGCTGTTTTTTGCCCCTTGGCAAGCATATAATAAATTTATTTCATATCACTTGGTCAAAAAAAAACCCTTTTAAAAATGGTAAATAGAATTATAAGAATATGAATCAATAAAAATCTATTTGTGATGATTAATTTGTTTGTTTTTAACCATACTTAATCTAGTAGAAGGCAACCATATGAACTATTAGTGCGTGCCATACTCAGTGCCACGTGATGGGAAGTTTCTCCTGTTCTTTATTTTTTTTTATTTATTTTTTTCCTTTTGGGGTCACACCCAGCGATACACAGGGGTTACTCCTGGCTCTGCACTCAGGAATTACCCCTGGCAGTGCTCGGAGGACCATATGTGATGCTGGGAATCGAACCTTGGTTGGTCGCGTGCAAGGCAAATGCCCTACCTGCTGGGCTATTGCTCCAGCCCAGTTTCTCCTGTCCTTTAAAGGTGCATGCAAGCATACATGCAAAACTAGTTCCAAGGCTGTGAAGTCTATGAATTCTCCAAGCTGTTGACTATCCATGAAGCTTTGTATCACTTCTTCAAATCTGAATAATAATCTAGTTAGAATATTCTTGGTGAGGTGTTCATTTCACTGGATTTTTGTACTGTATCTTCCCATATTCTTCTGCCTCTATTAAAGTCCCATTTGATAGATCTACTGTACATTTTGGGCTAGAGTGATAGCACAGCGGTAAGGCGTTTGCCTTGCACGCAGCCAACATGGCCTACCCGAATTCGATTCCTCCACCCCTCTCGGAGAGCCCGGCAAGTTACCGAGAGTATCTCGCCCGCACGGCAGAGCCTGGCAAGCTACCCGTGACGTACTCGATATGCCAAACACAGTAACAACAAGTCTAATGATGGAGACGTTACTGGGCCCGCTCGAGCAAATCGATGAACAACGGGAGGACCGTGACTGTACATCTTATGGGCTTTCCTTTGTAGGTAACTTTTTTGATCTTGTTGCTTTCAATATTCTGTCTCTGTCTGTATTTTGTTGTTTCGAGTATAATGTATCTTGGAGTTTTCCTAATTGGGTTTATTGGGTTTATCTTTCGAAACTTCTGGATCTTGGTGCTTAGAACCCACAGGTCTGGGAACTTATTGTGTAAGATTTCCATCTTTTTTTTTAACCTTACAGCAGATATTAATTGTGATAGGTATCAAGTTTGATATAATTAAAATTGGTTTTGGTGGTCTTTTTGGTTTTTTGTTGGGGGGCCACTTGTACTGTTGGGCAGGTCTTACTCCTGGCTTTGTGCTCAAGGACATACTTTGTTGTTCAGGGGACCTACTAGGTTGGACAAATGCAAAACAGGTGCCCTTCCACTGTACTATTTCTCTGGCCCCTTAAATTTTTTTCTTAGTTGGAACCAGAGAGATAGTACAGTAGGTAGGGCATTTGCCTTGTAGGTATCCAGTTCAGGCTCAATCACTGGCACCCCATATTGCCCCATGAGCATTACCAGGAGTGATACTTGAGAATAGAGCCAGGAGTAAGCCCTGAGTACCACCCTGCCAAAAAAAAAGAAAAGAATTTTTTTCCTAAGTTTGGGTTATACATAGATGTTTGGTAGAGAATTAGATCATTTTGATATTTTATTATACATCCCACAGTCATTTTATTCTGTAACAGGAATAAAATTCTAGTATCACATTATACACAGATACATGTCAGTCAGCTAGCACTCACTCATCCACATGTATGTGTTCAAATATTTTCAACACTTTGTCCCAGTCTAAGCTTAAAAAATAAGTCTACAAAAAAAAAAAGTAAGTCTACAGGGGCTGGAGTCATAGCAAAGCAGGTAGGGCATTTGCCTTGCACGCGGCTGGCCTAGGTTCGATTCCCAGCATCCCATATGGTCCCTAGAGAACCACCAGGAGTAATTCCTGAGTGCAGAGCCAGGAGTAACCCCTGTGCATCTCCGGGTGTGACCCAAAAAAACAAAAAAAGAAAAAAAAAGTAAGTGTACAAAGTTGAAAAATACATGATTGCTGCTTTGTAGTAACTCACACTCTTAGTGGTAAAAGAAACTGTTAACTAGTTATGCTCTGTAATGAGTGCAATAAAAGAACAGTGAGAATAGTTCCAACTTGTTCTGTATTTTTTTCTATTTTTATGTAAAAACATTAGGGAAATAATAGCTTTTATGTTTTATTCTGAGGATTCTGATTAAACAAGATAAAGAAAAATGTGAAAGATGAGTTTCTTATATAAGGAGAAAGAATTGCTATAAAAGTCTTAAAATATCTTTAAACAATTATTTAGTCACAGCCACTTGCTTTCCTGGAAGAAGATATTCGTGAAGTTTTAAAAGAAGAAACTGGAACAGACATATTCCTCAAAGAGGAAGATGAACCTGCTTACAAAAGCTGCAAACAAGAGGTATTATTACTTGTAGTCATAGTATTGTGATTAAAAGTCCTTAAGTGACATTGCTATAACATATTTATGTAATTTATTCATTCTAGCATACTACTTCTGTGAAGAAAGTGAGAAAATCGCTAGTCTTAGATAATTGGGATAAAGAAGAAACAGGTACTCAACTATTGACAGAAGACATTTCAGACATGCAGGTTTGTAAATAATTTTTTTATAATTAAAATGGTTGAAGTCCTAATAGTTCTTGTGTCATTACTCAGGATGTGACCAGTTCATTGAAGACTGAAGGGGTAATTTAGAGTTAATCTGCCTAATTCAGAGATAAACTTTTACCATAGAGGTTATTTTCATTTACTTCCTTGCTTTTTATATTTTGTTTTGCTTTGAGAACAGTAAGCCCTGTTATGATATATGATATTAAGAAATGGTTCTCAAGAGATTATATTTCAATATTTATCTTTGATTTATTTATTAAATATTTGATTTTACTACTTTCCTGGAAATTTCATCAGAGCCAAAAGCTTTCTTGGAGGGAAATGAACAGGACTTCCATTACCACTTACTCAGCAGTCCCTCTGTTTGACTTCATTTTTGAATTATTTTCTTTTCCTCTTTCTTTTTTCTCTTAGTCAGAAAATATATTTACAACATCTTTATTAATGATACCATTATTGGAAATACATGACAATAGGTGCATCTTGACTCCAGAAAAACAAGATATAAATTCAACCAACAAAACATATACACTTAATAAAAAGAAACCAAACCCTAACACTTCCAAAGTTGTCACATTGGAAAAGACTCTTCAGGTATGGATTTATAATTTTCTTTTAGTGATTTTTGTTGTCATTTATTCAGTCTCTTTGGACTTATCACAAATCATATTTTTTTTCTTTTTAAATATAAAATTGACTGTAACAGTAACTAAACATTCACCATTTTGTCATTCAAATTAGATTTGGGTTTTGAAGAGACTCATTCATCAGAGTACATATAAACTAAACAATTGGAATTTTAGCCAGATTATTCTGGTGATTTCATTTTTGGTTTGGTTTTGTGGCCACATTCAGTTATGCTTGGACTTTGCACTCAGGGATCACTCCTGGCAGTGCTCAGGGATACTGGGAATTGAAACTGGGACCGGCATGTGCCAGGCAAATGCCCTACCCACTGTACTATCTCTTCAGCCCCTTCTGTTGAATTCTTAAGCCTGGTTTCTTTTTTAAACTAAAGATGTCCAAATCCATTTATTTTTGGCACCTCTTGTATAATAAATATGCACAGCCCTGAAAGTTATTTTGAAAAAGGGTAAGTGGTTGGAAGCAGTTTCAGCTTGAATTTATTGGTACAATGGTTTCCAGTGAACATTTTGGCTCAGAAGTTGTAAAATAAAATCCCCTTACCCCTTCCTATATAGTTAGTATCTACCTACAAAAAGAAGGCTGAAATTTTTTTACTAAGTATTTTACTATTTACTAAGAATTACTAAATTTTTACTAACTTTTTTTCTAAGAGTTCAATCCAGAGAACTTGAGAGTTCAATGAGGAAAGCTAATTTTCTTCTTTATGCAACTATAACTGCAGCAATAGCATTCATGACATTTAATCATTAATTTAAAATGTCTTTGGCAATCAGATGGGCCACGTCTGATATGAGCCACCTATACTACCTATAAACCACCTCATCTCTCTTTTGATCTGCTGTTCTTTAAAAGTCAAATTGTATATTAATCTATTTAAAATTACTTTATTTTCCAGCACTTAACACAGAACTTTCTAATAAATTTTATTACATAGGTCATACATATACATATAAAGGTAAAGGTAAAGGCCCTCCCGTTGATCGTCGATTTGCTCGAGCGGGCCCAGTAACGTCTCCATTGGAGACTTTGTTGTTACTGTGTCTGGCATATCGAATACTCTCGGTAGCTTGCCGGGCTCTCCGAGAGGGGCGGAGGAATCGAACTCGGGTCGGCCATGTTGGCCGCGTGTAAGGCGAACGCCCTACCGCTGTGCTATCGCTCCAGCCCACATATACATATACTGTAGTAAACTTTATAATACAGGAATAAAACCAAAACAATGTAAAATTGACTTTGTATGAAGAATACATAACAATATAGAGTAACTAAACAATATAGATAGCTGAAATATTTGCTCAATTTGCTCGATTTGCTCGAGGCCCACTTGAGCTGAAATATTGTCTTTAAAAATAATTCATCATTGTGATCCAGGAGTTAGCTCAAAGTGGTAAGAGGTCATGCCTAGCATAATGCAAGTCTTTGAGTTTGCTTGCTTGGAGTGGCTCCTATAAAACAACAAAAAGTGATTTTTCATAAATATTTTAATAAATATTTAACAAGAACCCATCTATTACCAAAGCATTTTTGTAATAATTAATTCATATCTAATCAATTGATAACTTCTAAAACTGATTGTGAAGTCATATAGATTCTCTTGCTATTTTTCACATGATTATTAATACTTTCTTCCTAGTCAAATTGTGAATGGGAAACAGTGGTTTATGGGAAGACAGAAGACCAACTTATCATGACTGAACAAGCAAGAAGATACTTGAGTACTTACACAGCTACCAGCAGCACTTCCAGAGCTCTAATATTGTAATTGTTATTAAAACTGATGAAATGCCTCACTCTCTTAGTATATTCAATGCCAAATTAGGTTGCAATGAAATTTTTGTGAATTAATTGTTTTTAAAGTTTTAATACAACCCTGAAAAGTTTCATCTTTTTTCCCACTTTGGTCAGGAGAAAACTAAGGCACTTAAGTAATGAGTGAGCAATTCCTTAACTTATTTTTTAGAGATAAAAAATTTTTGAAAGTAGTTTTCAAAGAACAAGATGAGAAAGTCAATTAGAATTTTTATGATATTCTAAAAGTAAATCCTCACATTTTCTTTAGAAGATATATATATTTGCTACTCTCTTGATGCTACCATTTTGTTACTGATATGTTCATCAGTATGTATGATTTCTAAAATTAGTCTGTGTGTAAGGGAGCTACATCACACGTTTTTTTGAAGTACTTTTACTTACATGCTGATTTACTTAGGCTACCTTTTACCAAGAAACACAGTGGTGATATTTTAAAGGAAGGGTGGAAGTTGCACTACTACTTTTTTGTATTTTTCAAAAACATTAAAATTAACTACAGTGTTAAATGTATTTATTTGAGCATAGTACTGAAAACAAAAAACATTGAAGAGGGTTTTTTCTTTATTAGTAAAAGAGTCAGTATTTTCATAAATCTCAGAAGAGCTGAGAGTTTTGTTGAATGTATTGTACAGTATTTAGGAGCAGGAAAACTTTGTAAATTGGAAAGAAGTCTGTTTTTATAATTTATTTTCATTTTTAAAGCTTAATTGTAGATATGTATACCTATACAGGGTTTCTAGAAGCCAATGTTGTTTCTCATTATTACAGCTAACATAGTAAAGAGCAATTTTGACTTTCAAGTATGAAGCAATAGTAAAGCTAAAGCTGCAAAGAATATAAAATCTATACTGTATGCCACATACATCTACCTAAATATTGCACTATGCCCTTTAAATCATGTTGGTTAAAGTAGTTCTAAAATTTTAATAATAATAATAATATAATATTTTCTTTTTAATTTATATGGGGGTCATAAAAATTAATCTGGTGATTTGTATATGTGTTAGAAAATTTTGCATTTTCTTTAAAAAGTAATATGGTACTTTGGTCCCTACAAACAGTCTGCACTTAGAAGTTTGTTATATTTACTCAATGTTTCAGAAGTAGAGAACATTATCTTTTATTTATAAACATATTTTGTCCTTTTATAAATGTTTTGTGTTTCTCTACAGGTTACAACAGTTGCTTCAGTTGCCTGTTTTAGGTGTTTGCACTTATTTTATTTCTTCTTGAAAGAATGTCTTTATTTGCTTTTGTGTAGAGATTTTATGTAATTTTTCTTGAAACATAATGGTATGCTGTCAACTTAAACACTGACAGGCAAATAGAATTGTACACTGTAGTTTTAATTATTTATAATTGACACACTCTCTCCCTCTCCACTCCTGAAGTATGCTGCTATAGAAAATAGCAGGGTCGGCTTGCTGCTATGAGAGATGGAAAGAGCGACCACCACTTGCACTGTGTGAAAGATAAAAAGCAAATGATGGCAAGTTCTCAAGTTAACTTAATGAAATCAACCATTACCAGGCAAATCTTGCAGATACCAAAATACTGTGTCTTAAAAACAAAACAAAAAAAAAGCATAAGGTTTTCTGATGTTTTTGTTAATATAAATGGAAATATTAAGTATTTTAATACCTAGCTCTTGAACAGTAGACCTAAAAGGTTTTAAACTATTTAAATCTACTTGCTAGTTTTTGCATATTATACCTAGTGAGAAGTGAGGAAAATTTATGGTACAAGATTATGACTTGTTGATAACAAATACGTAAACCAATTAGATTCTTAGCATGTTTGTTAAGTAAATGTTGATCGCTTCCTAATTAGTGAACTTCTCACAGAAATTTCACTTTGTAAAACCAATGGTTATCGCAAAATCATACTGAATCATTTCAATTTCAGTTACCTTGACCTAATAGCATATAATGTTTTTGTGTTTTGTTTTTGTTTTTTAATGTAGCCCTTAGTTGGTTTGGATGTACATAGTCTCCAATCACCAAAGTATATTATCTTAAAAGAACTATATTTTTTTAAAGTATAATTTTTCTTGAGCATTAAATTTCTCAAACATAATATATTTCAGATAACCAGGGCTTATTGGAAATGGTTCATATTTTTATTGGTATTGGTTGAATCTTCCAGTTAACTGCTTTGTTGCTTTTTGAAAGATTTTAAATGTCGGCAACTTAAGTCACCTTACTACTGTTGTATTCATTTGAATTTCATTCAGTATGTTGTAAAAATGCCAGACATACATGTAGCAGCCATACTTACATGGAAACTGACTACACATATATAATATGCATTTTGTTGTAAGGTTTTCACATTAATACAGAAATTACCTGATTAAATTGAGTTTTTTTAGTATTGGGAAAATATTCCATTGTAAGAGAATCTTGCATACAATGTTGACATATATTAACATCAAAAATAAAGCATCTGTGTACAACCTGACACCTGATTTGGCTTTACTTATTTCGCTTGATTTTGTTTTATGGTACAGATTAAATTCAATCCGACATTCTGTTCTTTAGAATTTCCTTTAAAGTAATTTTATATGTTAAATAAACAACGGATTTCTATTTAAGAAGTGAAAATGCTTATATTTGTGTTCTATAATAGCCATTCAGAGGTAATTTTCAAAACTCCTTTTAGATTTTTTTAATTGAGGCACTGTTTTGCAATATTGTTAATAATATTTTGGTGCATACTGTGTCCTAACACCACACCTACTACTATCATGTCCTCTTTTTTCCACAAGTGTCCCATGATGCCCTCCCAACTGCTCCTCCAACTCTATCACTTATAACTTTATTAATTAATTAATTTATTGGTTTTTGGGTCACACCCAGTGATGTTCAGGGATTACTCCTGGCAGTGCTGTGGGGACCATATGGGAGGCCGGGGATTGAACCCAGGTCGGCCGCATGCAAGGTAAATGCCCTACCTGCTATACTATTGTTCAGCCCACCAATTATAATTTAGTTATGTAGAGCATTGCCTTTGGCATTTTTATTATTCCTTTATTATGTTTATAGTCCACTTATGAGAAAGGTCACTCCGTATTGGTCACTTTTCTTCTGACTGGCTTCACTCAACATGATACTTTCTAGTTCCTCCATGTAGTGGCAAATCCCATAATTTCATCTCTTCCTGCAGTTGAGTACTATCTATTGTGCATATCTACTACAATTTCTTTATTAACTCATTTGGTCCATGGGGTCAATCCTGGGTTGGCCGCCTGCCAGACAAGCACCTTACCTGCTGTACTCTCTCTCCAGCCTGAATTTTAAAAATATTTTAAAAATTTATTATTTAGTGTCAATAAATGTTTGATTCATATACCTATTTCTATACCTATATCACAGGTCATGTAAAACATTGAGGAGCATGAGTGGAAAATCCACAAAAAAAAGTGGAAGAAGCTCTGGTAGTGTAAACGATAGTGTAATTTTCTCCTTCAGACTTGGATTTATCAAGAACTTATATGAGTATGTTTCTTCCTCCATGCCTGTGTTTGTAGTGGTTTCTCTGCATGAGTGCTTTCTGTCATCTCTCTAGCCTGTAAAAATATTAGGCTTAGCACTGGGGTGATAGCACAGCGGGTAGGGTGTTTGCCTTGCATGCGGCCAACCTGAGTTCGATTCCCAGCATCCCATATGGTCCCCTGAGCACCACCAGGGGTAATTCCTGAGTGCAGAGCCAGGAGTAACCCCTGTGCATTGCCGGGTGTGACCCAAAAAGAAAATAAATATATATATATATATATATACATATATATATATATATATATATATTAGGCTTAGGTCTGAATTTTTCCAGATTATCTGAGTGCTTTGTAAAAATTTCCCACTTTTATATTTTGAAGAGTAGGAATTACTGTTTATAGGCTTTGTATCAGATTGGTACTTGGAAAATCTATGATACTAAAGAATTTTCTTAAAAAAAAATACCATGAGATACCCGGAAAAACTAATAATGCATGCAACGTGCTATAAATTGCATTAGTTTTTCAGTTAACTGCATGAAAACAGTTTTGTAGTCAAAATATTTTATTAAAATCTTATAACTCATTTTATTTTTTATTTTAGGCCACATCCAGCAGTGCTTGGGGGTCATTTGCAGTGGGAGTTGGGGGACCATGTGGTGTCAGGGATCAAACTTGGGCTTCTGCATACAAAGTATGTGCTCCACGATTTTTGAGCCCTCTTTCCTGACTCATTTTACATCTATGATTTCCTGCTTGATTTATACCAATTATAGAGCGATAAATAAGACTTGTCAGCTAGTGAGACCTTTAATTGTAATGTAAAACAGATGGTAGAGGTTCATCCCTCTCTTTGAGAGGTGAAAATTTGCTTTTAATTAAATAGGGAAGGGTAAAACACAATGTGAAATTCCACTGAAATGTTACTTTCCCCATCTCTTTTAAAAATAAAATATGTGAAATACATTGGTAGAAAACAAAGACAAAGTGCACCAGTATCATCGCTTGTGTTGGGAAGAATATTTTTTAAAAACTGAAAAAATGTTTATCATTAAACTCAGCCAACTTTGCAGTAAAAGCAGTGTTAGATACTGCTCTTAATTCCCAAGTTCTTAGACCTGGTGTTCTTACATTTGGATTTTTCTGGCTTTCTCAGGCAGAGAGAGGATTGCTCTGATTTTATCATTATAGTTTTGCTAACCACAGCTCAAAATGTGAGGAGCTTCTGTTATTTCCTAAGCACCATACAATAGGTATTTATTTAACAAGCAACGAATAACTGAATATTTACAGTACCCGGTTCTTGGTACTTGTGATGGTAAATAGCACACAAACCTTTCCTTTAAGGAAGATGATGTTTTAGAAAGGGGAGAGAAATATACTAGAAATTACATATTTTCAGCCCCAACATTTGAAGGATCAAGTAACCAATTTTCTGCTATATTTATAGATATATTCATTTGTGAATAAGGTATGGTGGTCATTGCCAAGATTGTGTGAATTTCCCCTCTCATACTGTGAAGAATTGATTGGTCTAGATGGCTCCTTGGGGTCTTGCAACATCCACGAATTTCACAGAATGAGTTTAAAAAAATACAAATGGCAGCTGCAGTCATGTGTCTTTCACATTATCTCATGTAAGCTTATTTGATAAATATCTTTGTAATCTACATGCATGTATTTGGGAACACATTTAGAGGTTTGTCCAGACAAAGAGCTGAGAGTCGTTTCGTCACGTGAGGTTTGGAATACTTCTCTAAGTCCAGAACAGAAAAGAGTACCTGGCATTTCATTTGTACAAAAGACAAAACTAATGTATGCTGTTAGAGGTTGGGAATGTGGTTACCTGGGTGGAGAGTGTTGAAAAGAGTTCTGAGGGCTCTGGAGTGCTACAAAACCCCATTTCTTGCTCCAGATGCTGAATTTTTGGATATGGGAAGTTGGTACAAATTCAAACTCTATTTTCACATGCACTTTTCCCTGTTATACTCAATAAACTTTTTAAAAATAAGGCCTATGTTTTATTGTAAAGGAAAATAAAAATTTTCTGCCGGAAAAATGTAATAGCTTGTTCCCTACATGGTTATTTCATGTAGAAATTTAACATTTACTCTTCCAGAAGAAATGGGCCAAAAACATAGTAAGTTCATAACAGTCAATTTATAATAGTCAAAGCTAGCACTACTGACTGTTATGGACTTATTATGTTTTTGGCCCATTTCTCCTGGTAAAGTAAATGTTAAAGTTCTACATGAAATAAGTAGAGATTTTCTTGGGCTGTGTATATGAAGTGTACCACAGTTTTATGTTTAAGAGCTTGTTCTACTCTGTGAACCCCTTATCTTTAAGCCAAACAAAATAGTCCTAGTTGCCCATAATACTTCACTATTATATCTCTGAATCTTTATTATTATTATTTTTTATCTTTTTGGGTCACACCTGGTGATTCACAGGGGTTACTCCTGTGGTAATTACTCCTGGTGGTGCTCTGGGGACCATATGGGATGCCGGGAATCAAACCCGGGGCAGGTGCATGCAAGGCAAGCACCCTACCTGCTGTGCTATCACTCCAGCCCCTGAATCTTTATTCTTGCTCTCACCTTGAAGTCCATGATTTCACCCCAAGAAAACAAGATTCACCAATTTACTTGTTAGCAAATATTCATCTGTCTAAGGTAGACCACCAGCAAGCTACTTTTTACCTTATCAACTGCACTTATAGCTTGAAGTTATACTAGTACTTACTTAGTGTTGATACTCTCTTAACAGTTTAATTTACTTAACTAAGTGATCCTTAGTTTTATTTCCAAATTAGTTCACTTCTAGGGCTAATATAAGTGTGTTAGAAGGCTCCCATTTGTTCAGGAGGCATTCCTCCTTTTCCTTATCTCTTCCTGCTCCTTAGGGTCAACTGTGTTCCTCTAACAACCCTTCCCTCATCTACAAGCAGTAATGATTAGTGGAGTAATCCTTATCCTAGATCCCTCTGATATTCTTATTTCTAGACAAATCTCCCTATGCCTCATTTGTGATCATATTAAGTATCTTGAATTATCCAGGCTGTTCTATGATATCAAGATTGTCATAATTGCCATGTTCTTTTTTCCATATAAAATAACATGTATATAGTTGGGGGGGGTTGGTGTGTATGTGTGTGGGGGCACACTTAGACACCTAGTGGTGCTCAGGGGTACTCCTAGTGTGTGCTCAGGAATTCCTCCTGCTGGTGCTCAGGGGACCATGTGGGATGCCAGGGATTGAACTCCGTTCAGTCGCCAAGGAAACCCTTCCCGTTGTACTGTTGCTCCAGTTCCTGTATAGTTTCTAAGGATTCACACATCAACATCATTAGGGTTTTTCACGTTATTATTTGTGTACCAGTCCATGTAATATATTAATTACATAATGCTCTGAAATTGTAGTCTATGAAAAGCAATGTAAAGTAGTTCCTCATCTTATAAGATTGAGTACCTTCAATGTTCTTTTTTACTACATTATTTTGCCTTAAATTTTTTTTTTAATTTTTATTAGTGAGACACCATGAGGTACAGTCATAGACTTACAAATTTTGTGCTTGGGTTTCAATTATACAATGATTAAATACCCATCCCTCCACCAGTGCCCTTTTCCCACCACCACAGATCCCAGTATCCATCCCACCCCCCATCCCCCCATCCCACCCTTCCTCTGTGTCAGGGCATTCCCTTTTGTTCTCTCTCTCCTTTTGGGTGTTGTGGTTTGCAAAAGAGGCATTGAGTGGCAATCATGTTTGGTCTACAGTCTACTTTCAGCATGCTTCTCCCATCCTGTGAGGATCCTCCCAACACCCTTTATTTGGTGCTCCCTTCTCTATCTGAGCTCCCTTTTCCCCTAGCATGTGTGGCTGGCCTCCAAGCCATGGAGCAAAATTCCTGGTACTAATCTTGGCCACTTTCGGGTGTTAGTCTCCT